ACTGCTGGGAAAGAGACTGTGAGAGACTGTTGACTGAGGGATGGTGGGCTGGGAGAGAGCCTGAGCATTTTTCCTGAACCTGAATTGTAGCCTGTGGTGCTTCCCTAATAAACCCCATAATCTGTGAGCTCTGTGTGGCCACTGCAGCGAATTATTGAACCCAAGAGAGAGGTGGTGGGTGCTTTGGGAGGAACAGTTGGAGCAAGGGCTGGAAGGGGGGAGGCAGCATGTCTGGCCTGGCAGGAATAGGCCTTGGGTTACTGCTGGTAATCCTGTCTTCCTCTTGCAGGGTTAGAGGAGGTCAGAACATGTGGCCTCCTCGCCGTTTTTGCACAGTGCCAGTACATGGTAGGTAGGTATTCAATTCGGGTACTTTAAGTACCTACTATGTATGTGAAGGGAGCTCTGGTTGGTATGAGTCAGAATCAACTTGATGGCAACAGGCCTGGGTTTTGTTTTTGTTTTTGTTTTTATGTATATGAAAAGAGCTCCGGTGGTGCAACCATTAAGCACTTGGCTGCTAACTGAAAGGTCAATGCTTCAAACCCACCTACAGCTCCTGGGGAGAAAAGACCTAGCAATTTGCTCCCATAAACATTATAGCCTAGGAAACTCTATGGAGCAGTTCTGCTCTGTCATATGGGGTTGCCAGGAGTTAGAACTGACTCATGGCACACAACAGCACCACAATATGTATATGAAGGACCACTAGTAGTACAGGGGTTAAATGCCCAGCTGTTAACCAAAAGGTTGGCATTCAAACCCACCAGGAGCTCCACAGGAAAAAGATGTGGCAGTGTGCTCTGGTAAAGATTGCAGCCTTATGAACTCTTCAAGGTACTTCTACTCTATCCTGCAGGGTCATTATGAGTTGGAATCAACTCAACAGCAATGTGTATGCATATGATTGACATTGTACTAGTGATGTCCAGTGGACAAGCTAGACATAGAATTTGCCCTCATGTTCCTTCTCTCTTGGTTCTACAATCAATGCCAATGGAAGCAGCAGTCAGGACATTAGACCACGTGTAGCATTGGGAAAGTCAACCACGAAGGAACTGTTTCAAGTGCTGAGGAGCAAGGATGTCTCCTTGAGGACTAAGGTGTGCCTGACACAAGCCATGATATTTCCAATTGCCTCATATGCAT